CAAATTAGAATCTGCAATGACATTTGGTTTATTCGGTAGTCCCAGCACCTTCATGTATTTGATAATTCATGCTTGAGATCCTTTTATTGGGAAAAATTGTGGCAATGTATTTCAACGATACACAAAGTAGCAATCATTCTAAAGAGACTCATTTGCTACACTTATATGCAAGACTTTAGTTATATAGAGAGAACTTTCTTTTTCTGTTATATAGAATGTATTAGCCTATTTATAATTTAAAATAAACAGGCTGCAAAAGATGTCCCTAGCTCTAAGTCACTAGAAAAGGAAATATTTTGTCCACAATTAGAAGATATTATCTACACAATCACACCCTATCCTATTCTGCTTGAGTAAGCTGCACAATATCAAGGATTTACAATCAAGAAATCAACGCTTAAAATCAGGTACAAATCGCATTAAAGTTCTGGGGATTTTTCCTCGTGTTGAGTGTTCTTGAAAAAAAAAAAAAAAAAAAAAAAACTATACACCAACTTGAAGCAACTTGAAGAAGTGCATGCTTATTTCAGATTCTATGTAATTTTGAGCTATGTAGCTATTGTTGATGGAATAGAGGTTGATGACAACAAAAGTTAAGTTAGAAGCTGGTTAACATCCAAGACAGTGGGAAACTTTGAAGTACTTTATGGTTTAATTTCATTCTGCAAGCGGGTTACCAAGAATTTCACTATCATAATTTCTCCTATAAACGTTGGCAAAGGGAAGAGAAACTTCAATAGACTAAAGAAGGTAAAAGAAGTTTTTAGAAATTCAATCAGCCATGAAATTGTATAACTGCTGCCAGAGTTTTAGTAATGCTTTCAAGTTATGAAATTGTGTAACTGCTGCCAGAGTTTCAGTAATGCTTTCAAGTTTTAGAGTGATGCCTCCAAAATTGGAATATGGGCTGTTCAAAAAGAAGTATTGCAAATTCATTGTTGGGTGAGAAATTAAATGATATAGAACTTTGGGAATACGAACATCTGAATTTTAGTGACATATTTTCATGAGACTGAATATATAACCTTCTAAGGAGAGGTGAATGTCCCCTTGATCATTTTCAGTACTTGGAAAAATTTGAACGGGTAGTAATTTGGCATATTGTTTGCTAAATAATAATGTTTGTGAATGTATCACAAATAGACGATTTCATTAAAGAAAAATGTGACTTAAACATTAAGATATTAATTGAAGGGGTAAAACAATTATTTTATGCACAAATTCAGTAATGGACATTCAGAAGATAGATTGTCAAGCCTATTAATCCTAGCATGTATCTATACTAATTGCTTATTTTTTCTTCTATAGCCTCTATTTGGTCTTGATTAAAATCGGATTTTAATCTAAGTTCAAGTCAAATAATCAATATTAACCACATATTTCATGGATTCCATAACTTTTGAAGCACATATTTCAAAATTTGTTGTTGAAATCTACTAAAAATCTAATTTTAATCCCTACCAAAGAGAGGTATAGTTAGTTCGTATGTAATACAAGAGAATAATATTATGTCTTTGGCAGACTGATACACCCCAAGACATCCATGCTACTGGTGAAGCTCTTAAACTTTATTGCATCAAAAATATAATGTATATCCATAGATCATGGATCTTAAGTATTTCAATAGCTAATAAAAGTTAAGTAGTAGATATGCACATCAGCATACATTCTTACGAGGAACAATTGAACTTTGTGAGAAAACACAAATCTAGCACTTGTTTCAAGTTACGAGATGCACTCAACATAAGGACTATGCCACTAACTAGTACACAACTGAACAACTGTCAATATCAAAGGCTTGGATTCAATTTAAGGAGTTATATCCTTTGCACCAATTTCATTTGGTTTAATATGGAAGGATTTCTTTAATCGTCTGGAACACAAATATATCATCGATTTCTTATTTCTAGGAAATCAACTTCGTGTTCCAAAATTGTTCATTGAAATTAAATTATTCAAGATATATATGGTGGAAGATTAGATGGGCACTTGGCAAGACACAACTTGTGCATTGATAGAATAAAACGTGTTTAATTTCATCAAAAGATGTTGCATATGCCAAGAATTTAAAGATCAATTGAAACTCATCCCTGCCATCACCAAGAACTCCCTGGAAGGAGGTAAGCACGGACTGTGTGATGGCGCTGCTCAAAAGCCAACAAAGAACAGGTTAAATATGGCCTATTTTACTTGTTGCAAAGGGACAATGGATGCTCCAAACAATAAAGTGTATCTTATCAGCCCAAATTAATTGGGCAAGCTCAAGTTATGAACAGAAGCTTGGAAAATCTTCTACGATGCTTGGCGGGACACTTGTAAACAATAGGAAGTTGTTAAGGCACAAGAACAATTTGTGCACGGCCATTCAAAGATTTGAACTTCAGGCAGGAGCCCTTTTGAAATTGTTTATACAAGACCACCTGCGCATATCATTGACTTTGTTGGAAGTGGGAAAAATTCAGATGAAGGGGTTAGACAGTAGCTGCCAAAATGAAGAAATTGCATGAAGAAATCAGGGTGAAATTGAGGGATTGGCTACCAAGTCAAAGAAATATTGAAACCAAAAGTGAGGAACTAAGTATTCAGAGGAAACCTGGCGATGTTTTACCTATTACAGAAATATTTTTACTGGCTCTTATTCTAAACTAAATAAATGAAGATTGAGCCTTGAACAGTCATGAGTAAAATGGAAAATTTGCTAATCAAGTTGCCTTGTTAAAGTATATGGGGATTAACTCAACATTTAGTGTCTCCTATCTGTACCAAACGACAGAGACAAAGTGAAAGAAGAAACAAGATACTGAGCTTGAAGACAAGTTTCTTCAAGGGAAGGAAATGATACAACAAACGAACAACATCTAATAAAATCTTGAATATTGAGCTGGTTTGGTCAAGGAACTCTTGGGATAATGTAGCCACTAAAGAGCATTAAAAGAGAACCTCTTAGTGCTTGTTTGGTAGTATTTTCAGTGTTTATAAGCAGGTCAAACATCAATTTTAAACACACATTACCTAGGACCCATGACTTTCATCTACTTATTAAAGAAACATTCCTTGGGAGTCCCACTATTTATAAGCACTTAAAAGCTTAGCCAAGAAAGAACTTAATAGCTTGTTTATCAAAGAGATTTTGATGCGGACATCCACTTACTATTTATTTTCTTTTTGAACTATTAGTTATATTCTATTTGGATTATTAATTATATTTCTGTTATTGGGCTTGTTTAGTGGGTTTGGCCCAAGCCCTTCTCTTTAGGGTTTGTGTTCTACTATTTATTTCTGTTTTGTTTCTCATTTGAGACAGTTGATGATGGATGAATAATTATTTTGGTGGCTTATGGCGCATCCCTCTCCTTCTTCTATTGAATTCTTCTTCTATCCCCTCCCTTAATTCTCCATTCTTTCTGAATCTTTATTCTATTTCTATTTATCATCCTATTGGTGCTGCATCAAATTTGGTATCAGAGCCTAAACTTGGGTAATCTCTCATCTCCAATCCAAAAATCTCTTCCTATTTCTTTCCCAAGAACTTGTGGAACAGTACAAACAAATAAACTTTTAGCGTGAGCAATCGAGTTATTATTTTTCCAGTTTCTTCATAGTTGTTCCCAAAAAAAAAATTACTGTTCGGAGTTACTGTTCACGCCCTATTTCAGTTTTTTTCCTTCAATTTTCTATTGTAGTTGCCCCAAAAAAAAATTTTTTTTAATACTGTTCACGTTACTGTTCACGGCGCGAAAATTTCAATTTAGGTTTTTTTATTTTTTATTTTTTTGCTGCAATTTCAGTTTCCCCCACCCAAAAAAAAAAAAAGAAAGAAAGAAAAAGAAAAAGAAAAAAAAGAAAAGAAAAGGGACCAAAAAAGAAAAGAAAAGAAAAGTGACAAAAAAAAAAAAAGTGAAAAGAAAACATATTTTCTATTGTTTACAGGTACATCTTTTATTCTGGTTGATCTGGCTTGACTATTTCGACGAATGAAAGGGAAGTTCTTGCTTTTATTTATTGTTGGTTTATATTACAGTTTCATTCTGAAATTGCATCAATTAAATTTTTGTGCTGCTGTTGATCTATTTTTATCTAAACTCACGTAATTAGATCATTTGACCTCGTTAAATCTCACTTTAACCTGCTTATTTTACATGATTAGATTTTGACTAGTATTTGACCATTGCTTTATTATTTTACATATACCAGCAGTACTAGCTTGTTGTATATAATTTTAGTCCCAAAATTTAAATTTAAAAAAAATAATAATAATAATAAATAGCTCAAATTTTCATTTTCCATTACTTGCACTTTTTGTTTGTTGATCTCCCTATTGCATGTCATTAAGTTGCTATTACAGTGCAGGTAGTTACATATTGGTCATCTTGTCACTTCTAACTCTAGTACCTTAAACATGAATCCCTCACAATTCGATGCACTCACCCGACAAATAGCGGCTATTCAAGCTCAAATGACCGCTACTCTTGAAGAGAGTAAGGCCCCATCTGTTAGTTTGAAAAATTTTAAACACATCCCTCATTCGATTGATGTTGATAATTCTAAGGTATCCCATAATAGACAATATCGTCGACAAGGTAATCAAAAATACTTTCGACCCGATCGTAAGGATAGGAATAGGAATAGTGATCTGATTCGTGAGCGAGAACTAGATAATTTTGAAATTCTTACTCAATGGAATGCCCTTAAACAAGGAAATCAATTAGTGACTGAGTATATCGCGCGATTTGAGGAATTTCGAACCAAATGTCATTTAATTGAGGATGAGAGCACGACTTTGAGTAGGTTTAGCCAAGGTCTGAGAAATGATCTTAAGCGCGAGCTGTTCCTTCGAGGTGTCACTACTCTTGATCACGCTTACTCTTTAGCTCGAGATTATGAGTTGATTATTAGTACTCCATATGAAAAGCGTGGTCATCGTCGCTCACCCATCTCATTAGCGTCGCCTCATCATAAGTCTATCATAAAACCGTCTCCGTCTAATGTTTCCAGCTGTATGGTTACTAGCCACTTTGCCTTTTTCTATTAATGGCAGTGTGCAGGGGAGAGTGGTCCCATCTAGGGGATTCCGCTAGGGGTCTCTCTCTCCCCATATCTTTTCTTAGTGTGCTGAGGCGTTATCTGGACTAACTAGACGAGTTGAGGTTGATGGCAATCATGGGTCTGAGATGTGCTCACAGCTGCCTCAGGTGAGTCATTTGTTCTTTGATCTTTGCCGATTGACTCTATCGTGTTTCTACATGCTCAGCGGGATGATTGTGCTGCTCTGAATAACATTCTGAAGGTGTATGAGGCCGCCTCTGGTCAAAAGATAAATTTTAACAAATCTTGCATTACTTATAACCTCGATGTGGATGAGGGGCTGTGGGATGAAATCAAAGAGTGTTAGGGGCTTAGAATCAACACTCCACATGACACATATTTGGGCTTATCGGCTACGGTAGGAAGGAACAAGAGACGAGCTTTTGCACCTATTAAAGATAGAGCGTGAAAGAGGGCAAAGGAGTGGAAGTGGAGTTTGTTCTCAGCAGGGGGATGGAAGGTTATAAATCGGTGATACAGGCCACAACGACCTATGTTGAGTTTGTTTTGCTTGACAGTGTCACTTTGCAGAGAGGTGGAGTCTATTATAGGGAATTTTGTTAAGGAGGAAATGTCACAGCAAACAAGATAAATTTGGTGCACTGGAACTTGGTTTGAGGGAGGATTGGAGTTCCAAAACCTTGAAAGGTTTTATCAAGCACTGGTGGCAAAGCAGGCTTGGTGGGTATAAACATCAGACAAGTCTATTGCTGCCTGTGTGTTGAAAGGGAAGGACTTTTCCTCCGCTGGCTTTTTGGAAGCTGGGGTAAGAGTTTTGGGTTGGGAGATGATTGTGAAAGGGTTGAGGTGGAGGGTTGGAGATGGTAGGAGTACTGACGATTATGTAGATGCGTTGATACCCTGGATGTGTAATTTTCAGCTTTTTGCAAGCCAACCCCTAGAGGTGAATATGGTCAGTGAGTACATGTGCCTCCCTATGGAGCGAATTTTGTGTCCTTAGGTCAGACCTTTTACCAAGCCACTGCATCCAGTGGCCAATAATGATCGGCTACCAATTCTTCTTTACTCTTATTGGCATTTAAGTCATTTTTGCGAGGAATATAATCTCAGTATCTCTTCAAAATTTATCCGCATTGAATTTGACCCCAGAAAATGAAGTCAAACCATGTGTTTAGAATAATACCTACGTGAGATGAGTTATTCCATTTCACCAGCTTAACATCAGCCCCAAAGTCTTTAAGCCGTTGGGCAAAATTGCAGATTATCTGACATGGAGCGAGATCATCATCTTCTGAGCACAAAATCAGGTATGGTGCACCCATGCTCTGCATAAAGATAACAGTCAATCGCTGGACAAATAGTAGAAAAGCAACTCGCCATGGCATTACATGTTTGGCTAAGCTTAAGAAGAAGCTACTTTCTTGGATAACATATTTTTAACTGAAAAACTTCACTTCTTTTAAAAGTAACTCTCATTTCATTGTCAGAATAAGTAACTTTTTCCAATTTTTACCATTAAAAAATATTTATTTTGAAACTTTTGTATTTACTTCAACTTTTTAGATTAGCTAAACATGCTGTAATTCTGACGGAAGCTTACTACAGAGGAGTAAAGAGTCTGCCAATACTCAGCACGATGAGCTTCAAATCTGCTAAGGAAGAGTGCATCCAGACTGGACGAAACACCATTCACGATCCATGATGCTAGGAGTGGGGGAGGGGACATTTTGAGAACAGATGGATGAAGAATAAAGCGAGTACCCAAGTCACTTGTAAAATCCACTGGAGTAGAATCAAAAATGTGGCCGGACGCACAGTCTCTAACCAGTCGGTAGTCATCCTTGAGATGAAACAAGCCATTAGATAATCCAACAGTTTTATTAAGATTTATCGAACTATATAATAGTTAACCATTATTCTTTCTAGTAAAATGAAAATATATGAAGAGTTATGACTATGGTATCTGGCTTTGGTATGTTTGTTATGGAGGATTGGATAGCAATGGATAATATTAATATTAGTTGTTAATTTTATTATCTAGTGATGCCCAACATTGTATACTAGTAGTGCATTTTACCTATCATGCATCACAAACTTTTGGACAAACATGTCACTTAGATAAGGAGAAACATATGCACAAGCCATCAACAGAATGAGAAAGCTCTGGAAAGCTACAGAAGCATATGTTACATTTACAAGACAAGAAAGTACGTGTTCACAATTATATGGAATGACGAAATCTTGAAGATGAAGTATACCATATTGACTTGCTCTGGACACTTGCCTTCAATTATCTGCAATCAAAAGTAAAAGAGTTCGCATTTCAGCTATAACTTCACAAGAAACATTCAATGTCCAGGATTTCAAATGCTGTATCTGAATAAACATCGCATATCAAAAAATTATATATTTTAAGTTCCAAATGTTGACCGACAAGAAAGGCATTTACCTGGAGAACCTTGTACATGCAAGCTTTTAGGCCACCAGAAAAAGACGCTAAGACAACTGGGCATGGCCTGATTTTTAGCTCCTTAAAATCAAATGGAAGTAGCTATGAGGACAACTTATAACAATAACATATCTAGCAAATTCAAATTCTTTTGTTATTTAAACAGTAACACCCAAACCACTTGTAGCCAAGATAATCCCAAACTCTGGAACAGTGATGTAGTTAGAAAAGTTAATTAAGGTACCAGGATTAGTTTGAATATTTCCATACAACTTAGCAAAGATATGACTCAAAGACCAAGTGTACCCATATAATATTAAAAACTAAAATGAAACACTTCATAACTATCGCTTTATGGTCTTGAATGTTGCGTGGTTAAAGGTCAAGATGTCCATAGGATGAATGTTGCATTAATGAAGATGCTAAGATTGATATGCAATCATTCTAAAATGGATCAAATAAGAAATGAGAATGTACACCTGTAACTGGCGGTGACACTGATTGAGGATAGCTTAAAGGAAACACAACTGAGGTTGTTAGGTAATGTTTTGCTTCAACTTAAAAATGCCCGTTAATAAGAATGGCACGATTTCGGTGGAGCAAATTAAAAGAGATAGACCAAAATTAAAATGGTTTGTTGTAGTTGTAAAAGGATCTAATTGCTTTATTCTCCCAATAAATCTAGCAAATGAACTTAACCAACCCTGTGTTTATTAGGGACAAGGCTTGGTTCATTGTTGTTGTGTTTCTTTGTTTCTAAGAAAACTATTTGCTGTTTATCTACAACAGCTCTATATTTCCAACCTTAGAAAAGCATTATTAGTCTCAAAGAAGTTTAGCGAGTTGCTTTGAGACAACTACCAATACCGGTGGCAAAACTTGTGAATACGAATTAAGATACTCCTTTAAAAATCCATTTAAAGAAACTACAGTTGAATTTTATATGGCTAACCTGGACAAGATCCTTTACAATTTCTATTGCCAATGATGCAGCTTTGTCAGGAAATAATCTGCAAACCCAACTAAAATTAATATTGTAAATGGAATATTTGTAAAACAAACAATAAAGGATAGAGTACGCTTATGGTAAATAATTAGTGATTCCGAATGCATCAAGATCGATTACCAGTGGGTCTAGATAGCAATTTATAACTGAGATATTCAATTTTCCATACATGAGATATAAATATATAGATTCCTGAAGATCCAATAATGACAAAATTAAACCCACTAACAACACGACTGAGTTTAAATACATATTCTTCATAATATAACTTCCTCATATACAATCCATTATATATCACCCATAAGAAAAGTTCCATTTTAAAGAAATTATACTCTCCAAATTTTCCTTCTGTAAAATGCATTCTGAAATATGCTATAACTTCCCATATATCCGTTCATATCTATCAAACTATTTTCTTTTCTCTGGATCCCAACTAAGAAATTAGAGCATTGTACAAGAACGATGGACAACACACGCTTCAAGTTACATTATATCATCATGTCACGGCTTATGTAAATTTTTTCTTAATTCCACTAAGGAAGTAGGACGATCTACTCTTCCATCCCTCTGACAAGGTACCAAGAAGGTAAGTATAGCACCAATCAGGACAAATGTTGCATGATGATATCAACCGTCCCGATTTTTATCATTTAAACCTGCATCACTTGCTAAAGAAAAGTTATAAACTACCATTATTTTGTCTTTTCAGTAAGTATTTGAGTTCTATAAACAGCTACAATGTAGATGATATTATTTCCACACACAGTTGCACAGTTCTTCTTCCCTCCAGATTCCAAATAAAAGACTCATTGAAAACTATTTATCAAAAATCACAATCGCGTAATACTATATAATATCAAGCAATAATTCAACCACCAACATCCGAGTATCCAGCAAATGTAATCTTGAACTGTCAACCAGAACCCACAAAGAGAACAACACATCTACATGTTTTATCAATTCCTTGAATCACAGCTGGCATTTTGCATATTTCTAATCAATAGTTTCATTCAAAGTAATGATCTTTCCAAAAAATAGGATATAATTTATGAATTCCATAACTCCAATAACCTTATCCATCACTCAGATCAAAGTCATAATATATATTAAACTTAAAAGCATATTCACGAAACCCATGAATGGACCTCCAGCAGAAAAAATATCCCAAAAAACAAAACAGTGTTCTAACAATAACTCGGCTAAACCAAACACCCAACAAAATTTAAAAATAAATTCAGATTTTGCAACATAGTCAAGAAACTCATAATAGGAAGATTACACAGTCAAGAAACTCAAAGGTCGAAAAGATAAAGATAAAAGTTAAAAAAATCACAAACCCAAATAAAATAAAAAGATTCAGATCAGAATGAGAATCAGATTCCCAATTGTGAAATTACAAAGAAGAGGTGAATCTGAGCTTACAGATTGAGGAATTGGGAGTGACAAATAAGGGAATTCCAGCCAAGAGAGGAGTAAAGATCAACATAATTTCTCGAGTGTTTATCCTGACTTGACATCCATGAAAAAACTACAACTATGCCTTCCACATTCCCTCTTTCTTTTCTCCCCCAGTAGTGCCTCCCTCCAAACCCCCACATCGCTACAAATTACAATTTCCTCTAAAAAATAAAATAAAAATTCTGACAATAGAAAAATCCCTTCTAACGAAAAGATTAGCTCTTTTCAAGAACTTATTATGGAGGAGGGATATTAAGAATCTGAAATTCTAAATTGGCTATGCCATTTTTGGTTTCTCGTGGTCTTTCTTGAAATTGATAAAGAATTGACTATACAATATACATGCTTTCTGAAAATATTCGTGCAGCATTTTATATAATATATCATTTGCACTATCCGTTACACGTCATTTTTGGAAACTTGGAGGGGTAAATTATTGTTGAATTTTCATTTGTTATTTGTCAATTGACTTTTTTTCCCCTTAATCTTGTAATTAATTTCTAACCATGCAATCTGTCCAAATTTTCTACAAACTATCACATAGCTCTCAGAAAGTGTCAATAAGCTCTTAATAGAAATCAAAATTATTTGATTTAGAAAAAAAAAATCGAAATTGGATATATTTCTCAATCCAAGTCTTTTTTAAATATTTAATCATAAAATTGGACGGAAATTTCCGTTGTCAACCAACTTTCTCCTTTTTAATGGTTGGAAATAATTTATTACATTTTGTCATTTTATGTATTGGCAGGGATGGGGGAGCCGGCTTCTAAATTTTGGAGCATTTTCTGCAGTCGTTGACCATAAAAGTATCTCCAATCTGGACCAAGAATGTGTCGCGTGCTTGGAGCCGTATTTTCCATTTATCTTTAAGACTCCCTTTAATCCTCTTTTTTTCAAAATATATTTTTCTTTCTCTTTTTTTTAATTATATTTTCTTCATTAAAATAATGTTATACGTAAATCAAAAAAATTTCTTTATTTTTTATCCACACAATCTCATCAATCTATTACTATAAAATTCATTTTTCCATAAAAATGGGTGTCAAACACCCTCTAAATTACGAGAAGTGTTTGAGATAACTCTTATCGAGCACTCATGACATGTGGTGCGTAGGTTTTTGAGCAATTTTTTACACATGCTGGATCCACCTACTCTGAAAGTCGGTAGGGGACTCTGGTAAAACAACAAAATTCTTAAATTACTCAATGAATCCTGTACTTTTATTAGTTGACAATGGTGTGCCCTTGGGACTTTTTATTCGGCTGGTTTGTTAATGGTTTACCTTGAATTAGGACTCAAAGAGGGAAACTATTAAAAGTTTTATCTAATTAAAGGTTTACTTTCGAAAAATATCATTAATTATTTTTAATTTTAATTGATAAAATATTTTATTTTTTATTCACTTGATCAAACTATTTAAACTTACTCGACCATGCAATTTTATTATGTTCGTTTTCTATCCCACGATAGTTTGTCAATGTGATTACTAAATTGTTATGTTCGAAGAGGGGAATACATGTGGAGATCCACTTGAGAACATGAAGCTGAATTTTTAATCTTTTTTATAGAGGTAATTTTGAAGAGGAGATATGATATATTTTTAAATAGACAGTTATCTCATGGAATGTTTTGAGAGTATTTTTTTATGCTATATTTCACTTTCTTTATTGAAAGTATAAATATTTTTTTAGTTTTTAGTATACCCTTATTTGATGTATCTTAGATTAACAAGTATAAATTAACTATATTTAAATCATTTTTTAAAGTAGGGGTATATTAGAAAAAATTTAACAAAGGTAGCGTTAGCTAAGTGTAAGTAAAGAGATCAGGCGTAGTGATAGAGTGTTTTCGTTTACGATTCTATTCAAAGAGACTTTTGCGCCTAAGTCAATCCCTTGTATCGGCCTGCTGCCTTATGATTGGAGAGGCAACAAGTAGGTGCGAAGCCTTTAACAAGCTTTCTTCGTTCACACCTTTTAGCCTCTGTTACAGAAGTGGAAGGATTCGTTGGTAGTTTTCTCTCTTGCTAGAGTAGATGCGGATTCGGCTTGCCTAAGTAGAAGGCATGGAACTAGTGATTTCCTTGCGATCTTGTCTTCCTACTATAGAAGGATCAGTGCACAGATCAAGCTGTCTGACTCGCGGAAATAGGCTAATGCTATGCCTAAAAGTAAGCATTGGATGAATGCCCGGTAGCAAAGGAAGAAAAGGACTCGGCTTGGGTTCCCCATTGTAACTATGGGAACGATGGAATAAGCTCTGATTCCTCTTAGCCGACTTTGAGCTCATAGGGATTGGTTAGCCGGGACCAAGAAGGGATAGAGTGGAAAGAAAGGATTTGATTAGCGCCCCTTCTGCCTGTCCTTTCCTGACTCTGTCGATGATATGCTTGATGATAGGATGGTTGACCATGTTCCCAGAAAAAAATACCTTCGAGAAAGGAGGAGCACGACTGAAGTAGCTATACATACAAATCTATTACGGATCTATATGCTTCGATTGGAACTAGAAGTTCCAGAACAGGCGGCTGGTATACCACCATAATGAAACTGCCTTTTCTTTTTTTTATTCGGATCGGATTTATGTTGGCTTCGTTGGGAGGCTCGCGTAGTTTGTTACGTAAGCTCCAAAAGGATAAGTTGCGTTGGAATTGATAAAGATCCATGGAGTTCATAATTGCATAAAAGAAGTCAAAGTAGTGGCGACGGCGCGTTGAGGCACGTATTCGACAGTTCTTATACGCCCATCCTTCGAAAAATTCATGGGTAGGAAATATTGAATTGGAAAATTATCTCTGAAGAATTCATGTGTCGGCAGGCGAGCGAGAAAGAACGGGCCGCCACTACTAATCAAGCCCCAGTTCTCATTGATAGGCGTTGGTAGCTTGCTTCCAAGCCTTGCCTTATATGATAGTTGTGGCCATGGCCCAAAGGAACCTTAAGCACTTGTACAATGCTCAAGTCAAGGCTCCTTCCCACTCGTTGCCCAGAGGTGCTGGTTCGAGTCCAGCTCGTGACAAAGGGCTACCTTCTCTCTTAAGAGAATCTCGATATCCTCACTAAACACAAAAAAATTGGAAATTGAAAGCCGCTTCACATCACAAGTGAGGAATGGTTTTTAGCCAACGGTGACCGGTTTTCAAAAAGCACCTTTGGGCGATGGTTTTTCTATCCTCTCTCTCACTTGAAAAAAGATAGCTACTATTATTATGTTATGCAATAATTCTTTCTTGAGTAAGAAAAAGGTGGACAAGACCCCAGACGGGTAGTTAAAATCAAATTGTTTGAATGTGGCAGCCTGAAGATGAACAGCACTTGGCCGATTTAAGGAAAACTTTCGAACGAATGCGACAACATGCTTTGAAAATGAAAATCCATTCAATCGGGGCTGAGAATTTTTTAGGATTTCTTGTGCACCACCGAGGTATTGAGATAGACAAGAACAAAGCACGAGAAATTACTGAAGCTCTTCCGCTAAAAAACAAAAAGGAACTGGAGAGGCCAGATTCCATTTTTTAGCCGATTTATCTCAAATCTCGCAGGAAAACTTCAACCATGGTCTCCCTGCTGTGAAACTAAAGGACTCAGAACATTTTTAGGGGACAAGAATTACTGGGATAATCGCTTTTGTGCAAAATGATAAAGAGAGAGAGAGAGAGACCTTAACTTTAAGTTAAAAACAATTAGTGTCTCATAACTAAAAATGTCTCTCCTATTGAGTTGATCTTAAAGTCATGATAAGTAGACTACCCTGTGTAGACTAAGGTCAAATTCATAATTTGATCATGTTCAAGGGATCCCAAATAATCTGCTTGTCATGTAAAGATGAATTTCTTGTGTCTATGCTCGGTATCAAGTGAGCGTATCTAACCAATTAGATACTTAGATAACGAAGTGGCATCTTCCAATAGATAAGATTTGTGTACATAGTAGAGCAAAACTAGTGTGATGACTTAAATGTTATCGACTTTGTTAAGTCTATGTGAGTCTTTGCAAATTTCACGTCCAAAATCATTAAATCGAGTTGTAATTGGAGTTGTGTTGATGATTGTTAATAGCTAATAAGTGTAATGTGTGCACTTATTTAAATCATATTACTAAACGTTTATATCGTCAAATTATTAATTTATATCTAATTTGGGTTGATTTTCTTTTGCTTTTAGTGATTGATTCGTTAGAAGCATTTAGAAAAGAATGAAGGATAAACTGATAGTTTGATAAAAATTTGGAGATAATATTTGAGACTGGAAATTGAAGAGGAGATTAGTTGGTTGCACAATTGATGAACTCAAAGACTAAAATGCATTAGCTGGAAAGATTGGATGGCTTAGAGAAAATAATAAATTATTACACACACACATAAAGAGGCAAGAAGAAAGGCAGTAAAAGATATATGTAAATTCACGGCAGCACGGCGGCGGCTGGGGAGAACTATACACAAATAGAAAGATGCAGACAAAAGAGAAAAGAGGTAGACAACAGACACAACATGAAAGGAATATTTCAAATTTTTTGTACGATAATTCATCAATAATTGTGCAGGAATGAATCACGTTTCGGCATCTTTGGTAATGTCTTTTATCCCTTATTTTTTTTAATTCCAACATTATGTTCGGTTAATTCTTTTCGTATATTAAATGAAGATGAAAGCTTTTATTATTTATTTTTAATTCAAGACAAGTGGCTTAGTTGAATTTTTTCAATTTTTGATTAGTCTTTTATGCTTAATTTTATTATTTGATTACTTGATCACCAATTAAATATATAGTGGCATGTTGTAGTATTGATAGTATTACAGTAAGTATAGAACAATGCTTGATTAACATATGTGCAATAAATGTTAGAAATAATATTTATCACATATGCAATTTTTGAGATAATTATGAAATTGAATGCGTTCTATTCATTCGAATTCAGATTAGGAACAAATTCATGTCGTGACTAGAATATATTTAATTTGTCTTGGAAAAAATTAATTATAATAAAATTATCGATTGTCAAGAATGTGTGAACGAAATTAGCTACGTAATTGAAAATTGAAATGGATATTAATAGGTGGATCTGTAATCCAATACATTCATTCCATACACATAATAAATCTGAATTTTACAAGCTTTTGTAGATTAAATTGGAATAATTAAAAATCATTATTCACTTTTGTTTGCTCACTTTGAATCTAATTAAAGACTAATTCACTCAATTAAATTCCATTTCTTGTGGGATGATATATATTATTCATCACGTATTACTTGTCAACAATCTCGTACACTTGCAGGTTTCACACGAACAATAGTTAGTTTAGTATATCATCAAAAGTCATGGAAGTAGAAGAAATCACTTTGTCTATTGTTCAAGGATTGTCAAGGAAGGTGCTCGAACACAATTTTTAGAACCTGATACTCGATGGTCATCCAAAAGGT